CAAGTGACCGATGCAGTGTATAGTTCACCTGCGGTCGATTTACTCTCGCTGTGGTGTAGCATCCAAAGTCAAATTATGCACCAAAACAAATTTACGGGACTACCTTATTATAGGAAATTAACGCTCCATGAAATTAACGCGAATCGTTAAAATTCGCGTTATTAAATATAAGTCGCGTAAATTTTGTTGAGCGTTAATTTCCGCGACGTTAATTAAGTGCAGCGTTAATTTCCGCGCTTTTAGTTTCCAGTATTTTAACCTCAATTTTGGAACCTGTCTAGACATTCTTGACACCTAAAAACATTAACTACAAGCTTTCTTTATTTCCATTTACCCTCTATTTTTCACCTTTCACAAAAGCTAAGGCGAAGGTTTACAATATTTCGAGTTCATCCTTCATCGTTGTCGCTGTCAGAAGTAATGTCAGCTCTGTTTTGTTCAGCTTTGAATTTTTTTGCATGCAGTGTTGAAATAAATTTGTTCCAGTTGTCACTACCAACTGTGTCTTAATCGCGTTAATTTCCTTTATTATGAAACTCTACCTCCTCTTTCACGTTAATTTTTTTATTCGAAAGTCGTTTTCCATTAAATTCGCGTTAATTTAAGTCGCGTTAATTTCCAATACCTTAATTTCATGGAGCGTTAATTTCCTATAATAAGGTACACGTCTTAAATATGCGTGGCTGTTATTCAAGCTTAATCTAACTCTGCAACGAACAACCAATATTTAGGGATTTATGGATTGCTTGGAGGCTAATTGGTCCCTAACAGACTAAACTAGGCTAATTAACAATTATTCCTCAAGGCCATGAGGGCGAGAGGAATAATTGTTTTAGTAAAATCCAACTAGTGGGTCAAACATGTCGAGACAAAACACCTTTAGCTCGTAAAACGCGATTTAGCCGCCGTTGTTTCGGTTTTCAAAGCCGGCGCTTTTCGCTACTAGTGGGCTATAACATAAAGCCTAGTAGTAGCTCAACCAATCAGAACGCAGCATTGATAATGGACCACTAGTTGGATTTTACTAAAAGGCGTTATACATGCACTGAGTAGACCCTGTCCAATTCCTCTAGCTCTATCTTGCAAAGGAAGATGCATCCAAGGCAAAGTTCCCTCAAGTGACCTTCACAGGATCAAATTGAACTGAGACACAAGAAAATGGAACTGAAAATGGCATGTCTGAAAACAATGCAAGCTGATGGTTATAGGTACAGTTTTCACCTGTTAAACTGTTTACTTCAGTTATTGAGAAATTCTAAGGTTCCTTTGGACTTCTACTGTCTTTTACTTTGGTACAAAAGCCTCTTTAACGTCCTGGAGATTGTCTACGATTTAAACTCTGTTGCTTGGTATGCTTTATGCCACCTAAAAAGAATATCTAGATGTATTTTAAAGGCAAGGTAGACTACGAGCAGCCGTTCTGTTGTGTTTCGCGGCGTTGCCTCTTACCGCTTGGTAGTTACGGTGCCACTTCATTTACTTTGAAGCAGAATATAAAAAGACAATTTTAGGTTGGGTTTGTTTATTTTAGTTGTGCATCTAGTACAAAATATTGCCACTTGAGGATGAAGCAAATTTTTGATAATCGATAGTTCTCTGCGCCACTGAAGTTTTTGGTGGCGAATGTTTCACTTTACTGGAGGATGTTGAAAATGTAAGTTTTTCAAAACGTATTTTCAGGAATAATATTATACGAGCGGTTTTCGGTTGTGTCGACAGTCGGTTAATTTCCCGCTTAATTTGCATTTCTCGTGCAGGTCAAAATATAACGTAGGAGAACCTGGACCGTTTTTGTATCATGTATCAGATTTAAATGGATAAAGTATTAATTCAGTTGTACATAGTAAGCATTGTTTTTGCTTCTTGAAGTCTCTGAATAGCAAGATGCTTAATGACAATAGTTTTCTTGAATTTATAAAGTGGAAATGGTATTGTTGAATTTTTCTGCAAGTGACAGAAAGCAATATATGTGAAGTAAACATTGTAAGCAATTTTGAAAATATTGTATTGAAAAAGAATTTAAAACTCGAACTAGTTAACATAACAAACACTTGATGAAATTCAGTGAATTGAATTTATTTTGTATCGTTTTAACAGATTATATTATTTAAAAAAGTAATAATAAACATTTAATGCGAAATGGTTGATGGGGTTCTTGCTTTGTCGTGGCAAAACGTTATACAATCGAAGCTCGATATAACGATCCTCTTAAGTCTATATAACGAAGTCCTCGATATAAAGAACCTTTATATAACGAAGTCCTCGATATAATTCGATATAACGAACCTCTATATAACGAAGTCCTCGATATAACGAACGATTTTTTTCAGCCCGGTCTAAATTACAATAAAATGTATGGAACAGAACCTTGATATAACGAGCCTCGAATGAACGAAATCCTCGTTATAACGAACACAATCCTGTTCTTGTGTTTCTAGTGGCGTAGCTTAGACTTTCTAAAAGTCCTTTATTTTTTTTCCTGGTTGGTTATGCCATTTTGACCTCGAGACTTCGTCGCTCGCTCGGTCACTACGCGACCTCATGCATTGAAGCTCACCGCTCACTTTTAAGAACTTTGAGAGGTCGACTTGTAGCAAGTCTAGGCGTAGCTATGTACAGCTATAGCTTCGTATTCAAATGTTTATTACAGAAATTCTTCACATCCGGAAATGCAGGGCGTTGGAAATTACTCATTAACTGTACCTCGATATAACGAACATTTTGCTTGTTTTCCTAAAAATTCGTTAAATCGATGTTTTCAATGTAACGAACCCTCTATATATCGAACAAATTTCCCCAGTCCCTTTGTTCTTCGTTAAATCGAGGTTCCACCGTAAAATGATTTACAAAATACTGATCACCAGTGGAAGCTGGTCCTGTAAAAATGTATTTCTCGGTATAATCATAGCTTAATTTGTCGTCCTGCTCTGAAAGAGGCTTTTGGGAAAAGGAACTAAACCATCGGTTTATTTGAAAACCACCTTTACCTCCCGTCCGATTTTGGCTGATTTCGGCCCTCTAGCGTATGACGCGGTATTCCCTGAGCAGCTCTACCTTTTCTTAGAGGTTGTCACTTTTCGAAGCCGAATGCCACATGTGACCACGAACCCCGCCCTGTCTCGTTACTGACTGGTACTGCATTTTGGTAGTACGTACTTATCACTAGCGCAAAGAGCATGAACTTTATTCTGCAGCATTCCGGTGTAACATCTTGTCTGCTAGGTAAACCATACTTTGTATTGTTTAGTTCTGTGACATCGAAAGAAATGAGTCATATTTCAAGCGCTTTATCTCGCTGATCGCCCTCTTCTTGGCCCATCTTCGGAGACCCAGGGGCAGATAGTGGGGGCGAGGGAAAGTCTAAACGGGCGTGAAAATATGGCACGAAGAAAAGTAAAGAACGGCGAGAAGAGCCCCTGGGGACAATGTCTTACCAGACCAGTTCCAAACGGTCGCCGCCGTTCTGGCTTCTGATTGGGCAGAAAAACACAAAAGTTTTCTGGCACCAATCAGAAGTCAGGACAGGGGCGACCGTTTGGAACTGGTCTGGTAAGACATTGTCCCCAGGGGCTCTACTCGCCATTCTTTACTTTTCTTCTTCGTGCCATATTTTTCCGCCCGTTTAGACTTTCCCTCGCACCCACTATCTGCCCCTGGGTCTCCGAGGATGTTCTTGGCCTCGAATGCACCTGAAATAAGCCAACCCCAAAACAAACATAACACACTAACAAGAACTACAGACGCAAAGTGATTTGCAGTTTTGCGTTTAATTTATTGGCCACTATCCGTATGTTTACAACATTGCATTGAAAACAAAAGTAAATAGTGCCTGGAGTTTCGGAGCTATTCCCTGAGAAATGTTTGTGTCCCTGTAAAGAAAGAAACGAAAAACAAAGACACAAACAAAAACAAATCAGGTAAGCTTAATTGTGTAACGTTTTCATGCTTTGGTTGGTGTACACCTTTTGCTTAATATTTTGTTAGTATTTATGTTTGGTACTGAACCAGGTAAGGACGAGTTTCTTAATTGCTAACGTTAGATCCACGTACGCCATAAGCTTTCTAGATACCTAGTAAATTCCACATTATAGTTATCAAATATGAACTTCTTGCCAGTAATCGCAATCAGTGGCAGATTCAGTTCTTCAAGTAAATAAGGTTGGCGCTCATAAGGAAATATTTTTCTGACTCTGCAGGCCTCTGTTGGGCCTAAAAAATACGGTAGATTGCCCCTAGTTCCGCCTTGGCACATCCTCGGAGGCCCAGGGACAGTCAATCGGATCCTTCTACGCACCGTTTCTGCCGACCCGACTGACTGCCGCTGGGTCTCCGCCCAGTGGCAGTAAAATGAACTCACCACGTTTAGACGTCACATCCGTAAAGTTCAAGCCTCATGCATGGATATGCCGACTTTCCAACNTTCTTTACTTTTCTTCTTCGTGCCATATTTTTCCGCCCGTTTAGACTTTCCCTCGCACCCACTATCTGCCCCTGGGTCTCCGAGGATGTTCTTGGCCTCGAATGCACCTGAAATAAGCCAACCCCAAAACAAACATAACACACTAACAAGAACTACAGACGCAAAGTGATTTGCAGTTTTGCGTTTAATTTATTGGCCACTATCCGTATGTTTACAACATTGCATTGAAAACAAAAGTAAATAGTGCCTGGAGTTTCGGAGCTATTCCCTGAGAAATGTTTGTGTCCCTGTAAAGAAAGAAACGAAAAACAAAGACACAAACAAAAACAAATCAGGTAAGCTTAATTGTGTAACGTTTTCATGCTTTGGTTGGTGTACACCTTTTGCTTAATATTTTGTTAGTATTTATGTTTGGTACTGAACCAGGTAAGGACGAGTTTCTTAATTGCTAACGTTAGATCCACGTACGCCATAAGCTTTCTAGATACCTAGTAAATTCCACATTATAGTTATCAAATATGAACTTCTTGCCAGTAATCGCAATCAGTGGCAGATTCAGTTCTTCAAGTAAATAAGGTTGGCGCTCATAAGGAAATATTTTTCTGACTCTGCAGGCCTCTGTTGGGCCTAAAAAATACGGTAGATTGCCCCTAGTTCCGCCTTGGCACATCCTCGGAGGCCCAGGGACAGTCAATCGGATCCTTCTACGCACCGTTTCTGCCGACCCGACTGACTGCCGCTGGGTCTCCGCCCAGTGGCAGTAAAATGAACTCACCACGTTTAGACGTCACATCCGTAAAGTTCAAGCCTCATGCATGGATATGCCGACTTTCCAACAAGGATCTTGACGTATCTTGCTGTAACCGGGTTGAATGTGTTGATCACAGGTGTGAAATGGTCACAGTTACCGATGAAATTCTAGAAGAGAGTAGTCAATTTATCCGATTTTATCCGATGTCCGATTGCAGTCTTTATTTTAAAGGAATGAGGTTTTTGAAGTTGCTGTACTTATTAATGTACTATTGTTCAAAGGAGTTGTGTTACAAAATTCACCGAATTTCAGTTATTTATTTTCAGTAAGAGAACATTTCACCAACACAACCAACAACTAATGAAGACATAGTTGCACAAAATTAAAGCAGTTTAAAACCGATTTCAATAAATGGGACAGCGAAAACTGTTCAGCCTGACGGAGTCGCAATTCGAATTGCAAAGCGTTGTGATCTGGTAAAAAAGCGTTCCGATTCCGCTTACTATTCCTTGGCTTACGGTCTTGTGAAAACAAGGTTATTTTCTTCAAAGTCGCGTGTAAAAACGGAAAAACTCGAAGCTAACTCGACCAATTAAAAAATCGTAGGAGGAGAGATCGAGATCGTAAGCAATGGAGTCGGAAGAAATGGAAACCTTCTGATTTTTCCGACACCGATTTCGTGGTTGTGTTTTTTGTAACTTTGAATTATAACGCTTTGGAGACCTATTTGTTTGTTATGAAGCGATGAACTTCTCAGTTAGAAGTGATTTCTTCCCCTCAAGAGTTAACTTTCGTAACCGGCAGAACTAAACAAAATGGACTAAATGAGGGCTACAAGTTTATCATTTCTTATTATAACTGTCAGGTGTTACCTTCTTTAAATAAAGTTCTACTCCACTTCACTAAGGGTAATTTTCCACTGATCATGAGTGTAACGAAATAAGTGGAAAATGCTTTTCTCACGCACCGCGCGGGGCCAGGGTATAGGTCATGTGACCGAAAGGCAGGCAGTTGCCTTTGTTGCGTCCGCCATTACAGACCTTCCCACCCACCCACCCTAAGATTTCAGTTTTGTAGATTGAATGTAAGGTGCAACTTTGTAATTTTGTTCGTGTCCCACCTTTCGAGGGGTATGTTATGTGTTTGAAATACAGGTCAGTCTGCGGCGGTCGGTTTGGCATGGCTGCCAGTGGTGTGTGAGAAACCGCATTCGGATACACTTATTTTAAGTGCCACATTACCCTCTCATTTCCATTTTCTTTGTAAACTTCGAAGTTGGATCCGTCATTACTGAAGGCCAGTTTGTATTCCTTAACATGCTCATGGAAAACATCACGACCTTCAAAGACATCAAAGGGCGATCAAAACATTGAGTGACCCCTACATAGATGTAAGCCCCAATTTTGTTACAGTTTACTTTCCGCAATTGATTTAAATGCGTATATAACTGTGACAAGACATGTAGACTTTTCTTACTTTCCAAATGAAAAGAAAAAACAAGCGAACAAAAAAATAACAAAAACAAACAAACAAAAAGAGACAATAACATCAACCAACACCACCACCAACAACTGTAACAAGGAAAAAAAAATACAGACAAAGTGAACTTGTAATTTTTATAAACAGATTGTGTCTTTGACGTTGGTCTGACGGTGTGTTCAACTGCATTACTTACCTTGTGTCGCAATTGCTCGTATTTTCCTTGTTTTTCCTAAGTCAACCCGCAGCCACTGGTTTTCTCGATCTGTTGCGCACCAAGCGCCAATTCGTTTGTTATCCTGATCGTCCTCAAAGTAAAGACGAGCATTGTCCGCAGATGCTCTCCAACCACCTGAAATAAACCAGGTGTGAATACACTTGTTAAATATGCCTGAGCTTATGCCGTTTAGATTGGCTCTATTAAAGTAGATAATTTATTCAAGACCTCTAAATTTTACAAGACGGGTGCCCTTTTCCATATGTGGCCGCTATAGTTATAATGAGGCCTTTTTCATTTAGACGGTATTTTCCTCTTCCTTGGGCTTTATTTACATAGCAAAATCATCACACTTTCTTTTAGCTNTTACCTTGTGTCGCAATTGCTCGTATTTTCCTTGTTTTTCCTAAGTCAACCCGCAGCCACTGGTTTTCTCGATCTGTTGCGCACCAAGCGCCAATTCGTTTGTTATCCTGATCGTCCTCAAAGTAAAGACGAGCATTGTCCGCAGATGCTCTCCAACCACCTGAAATAAACCAGGTGTGAATACACTTGTTAAATATGCCTGAGCTTATGCCGTTTAGATTGGCTCTATTAAAGTAGATAATTTATTCAAGACCTCTAAATTTTACAAGACGGGTGCCCTTTTCCATATGTGGCCGCTATAGTTATAATGAGGCCTTTTTCATTTAGACGGTATTTTCCTCTTCCTTGGGCTTTATTTACATAGCAAAATCATCACACTTTCTTTTAGCTGATATTTTTTCCTAGACCATTTTCAGATTGCGGACCATACACAAGTCTATGGTATCCTAGTATTTTATGGTAATACAGTGGAACTTCCGTGTGCTACCACCTCTCGTGTTAGCGACCACCTTTCATAAGCGACCACTTATCCAGATCACCAAAATTTCCCCGTCGAATCCTTATAATCAGAAACTCTCGTAAACGACCACGTATATTATTATTACCTATTCAATATTTGTACTGGATGCGAGATAACTTTAAACTAAAATCTGAGTATTATTGATATTATGTGGACTTACTTGGTCTGTATTCTGTCGAGGCACTGAAGGCCTTATCGGGGAGTGTGAACCCTCCAGGCCACCCGAGACCAAAAGCGTCGGAGCAGGTCCCTAAAATGAAAAAAAGTGGAATTAAAGGCGACTGAGCGAGATAGAGAAAGAGAAAGGATATCAGCAGTGGAAGTGGTGAACTGGAGTGTGGAAATCAAGAAATAACAATATCAGTTTATTGTCTTTGGTATTTGAAGGCAGTTAATGAAGTTTGTTTATACTCCAGGAAAGGAAACCGTTTACCAAATGCCCGTTGAGATCCAAATGGAAGTTTGAAGTTTAAGTTATGACGGCAAAAAGGCCTTCTAGATCAAGGACGGTAGAGAACTAAAAACAAACTAACTTAAAGAAAGAAAAGAGACCTGAGTTTCGAACTCTAATTCCGTTATGCGCAGACTTTCGTCTCGAATTTCACGCCACAAATTTTCTCCTTGGTTTAAATTTTACTTCCGTTTTTTTTACTCATTATTCTGTTCAATAACCTGGATAACTGATTAAATCAGAAAATGTTTACAGATTTGAACTTTGGAAATCCAGGGTCCGTTCGGTCAAGACTTAAGGCTGGTTTCCATATGATCGCTATGATCGCTGCGATCGCGTCGATCGTTGGAAAGTAGTTTCCACATGAGCTCCGATCGCTGAACGTTTTTTATCAGCGATCATAGCGATCATATGGAATCCGGGTTAATTTACTCACAAGATCAGAAAAGTTGTAACCAAGATATCATGATCTCATGTTGTAACTTGTTTACCGTTTGGTTTAACAGGATACGTATCACACTTGGTTTTGCAGCTGATTCGACAGTTTTCCTCAGTCCAGCCATTGGTGACGCACTGCCCCATTGCAGCGTATTGTTGGCATTCCTCCCTTATGTCCTTACATATCAGACCTATTAAAATTCAAAGTGATTGAAAAAATTAAATAATTAGTACGGCCTTTGCTTTCGGGCCATGATGTTCTTTCCGTAACGTATTAGAATATTTGAGCTGAGTTTGAGGTTTTGAGGTGTCAGTCTGTAAAGATACTCTTTTTCAAAGGTAGTTTCCGTTTTATTACATTTCGGTGAAAGCTTTCAAAGAGTTCTTTCAAAGTATTATCTTTCCCGCATACATTAATGCCGAACACTAACACTCGACTGCTCATAGTTTTAGTTATTGTCAGATGTTGAAGTTGTGAAGGTCCATGTGAATCATAAACCACATTGGGAGGTTTTGCATAAGAGTCGTAACTAAGGCTAAATGAAATTGCCTCATGTTTGTTGTTATTAATTTCACTCACCCACTCCAGTCCTGTTGGACAAATGTGTTGGAAGAGTAGGAAAGTTTGTTGGTCCCACGGTTGGCTTTGGCTCTACACGAAGGAAAACAAAACAACCAAATGCTGCAGACTTAAAAGGAGTTTAATGGGCTTTTATTCTGAGTAGACCAAGGGTTAATGGCGTTTAAAGAAACCTCAGTTGGTTGCTCTTGAAAGTTTTAGCAATTTTTTTTTTACCAATCAAAAATGAATGCGACTCAGCGTGCAAAGAAAGTCATGTCCGATAACCCGGGGCTAGTAGATTTTGCTTTCGGGCTAGTGAATTCTGTTCTTAACTTGTCCGACGGGCAAGTGAATTTTTGGGGGAAATTCAAATTACAGAGGGATGGTAATCAATCCTGCAAATCAAAAAGGGTTTTGCGGCTAGTTGAAATGACTTGTGGGCTAGTACATGCTAGCTACAGCTTTTCCGAATGGCAGGCTGTAAAACTGACTTTCTTTTCACCCTGCCAGACTTGTTGGGTTTCTGAACCGATTTGCTTAAAGTCTTAACTCCATTCACTTAGATCATTCTTGGAGTGTTACAAATGACTTACTAATCTTGACTTAGCTTATATTAATTTTTTTAGTGCACGGAATTTTTACTTGATTGAAACTATTGTTTGAGCTTGAGCCTTCTAAATCGTAAGAGAAGGGAGATAAGTTATACTTTTGTTCAATCATGATTTGAACTTTATAGAGCTTGTTATACATGGATTAGGTCAAATAAGGGGAATCAACCTCTAATGATGCCTCGTCACCAGAGCATCCATATTGAATGAGCACTTGTCTGAATCGTTTGCTCAAAAGTATTGCCCTTTTAGAAAGTTAACTTTCCTAACACTCACTTGAACACTCATCACAGAAACCGCATGTGTGGGGACATTCCCTCTCCATTTTGGCTGAGTCTGAGGAGCAATCACCTCGCTGAGCTCGCGTTTTGCAGTCAGACTTAAGATCGACACAGTAATCTATTGTATTCATAAAGGAAATACAGAATGAGTTCACTTGTTATGTTTATTAGAAGTTTCCTTTCTTTGACATGGGAATCTCGTATTTTTAACTTCAGAAGTCGATTAAAGTTTATGAGCACTATAAAAAGGTCACAATAGCTATGGTGGGCTAGGGCTAGCGCTGGAAATGACAACTTTTAAATTTATTTATTACCTTTACCAAACCTGATTGTTGGTCAGTTCAACTCTGCGACACAAAGTACCATGTTTTTTTGAAAACTCCCCCAAGTTTGCGCACGCGCTCAGACGTCGACTATTTTCGTAATACCCGTTAAGTCAACCCGCAGCCACTGGTTTTCTCGATCTGTTGCGCACCAAGCGCCAATTCGTTTGTTATCCTGATCGTCCTCAAAGTAAAGACGAGCATTGTCCGCAGATGCTCTCCAACCACCTGAAATAAACCCGGTGTGAATACACTCGTTAAATATGCCTGAGCTTATGCCGTTTAGATTGGCTCTATTAAAGTAGATAATTTATTCAAGACCTCTAAATTTTACAAGACGGGTGCTTTTACCATATGTGGCCGCTATAGTTATAATCTTATGAGACCACTGTCATTTAGACGGTATTTTCCTCTTCCTTGGGTTTTATTTACATAGCAAAATTTCTTTTCAGTTTCTTTTAGGTGATATTTTTTCCTAGACCAATTTTTCAGATGGCTTTTCAAAGAGAATTGGCGGACCATACACAAGTCTATCAGGTATCCTGGTATTTTATGGTAACACAGTCGAACTTCGATGTGCAACCACCTCTCGTGTAAGCGACCACCTCCCATAAGCGACCACTTACCCAGAACACTAAAATTATTTTTCCCTGTCAAATCGCCCTATAATCAGAACCTCTCGTGACGACCACATATATTATTGTTATTATTATATATTCAATATTTGTACTGGATGCGAGATAACTTTAAACTAAAATCTAAGTGTTATTGATATATGTGGACTTACTTGGTCTGTATTCTGTCGAGGCACTGAAGGCCTTATTGGGGAGTGTGAACCCTCCAGGCCACCCAAGACCAAAAGCGTCGGAGCAGGTCCCTAAAATGAAAAAAAGGTGGAATTAAAGGCGACTGATCGAGACAGAGAAAGAGAAAGGATCTCAGCAGTGGAAGTGATGAACTGGAGTGTGGATTTCAAGAAATGACGTTACTAGTTTATTGTCTTTGGTATTTGACGACAGTTAATGAAGTTTGTTTATACTCCAAGAAAGGAAATCGTTTACCAAATGCCCGTTGAGATCCAAATAGAAGTTTGAAGTTTGGTTCTTGAGTGCGGCAGGCAAAAAGGCCTTCGAGATCAAAGACGGTAGAGAACTAAAAACAAACTATCTTAAAAAAAGAAAAGAGAGTGAGTTTCGAACTCTAATTCCGTTATGCGCAGGCTTTCGTCTCGAATTTCACGCCACAAATTTTATCCTTGGTGTAAATTTTATTTCCGTTGTTTCATACTCATTATTCAGTTCAATATCCCGGATAAAATTTAAATGAAAAAATGTTTACAGATTTGAACTTTGGAAATCCAGTTTCCGTTCGGTTAAGACTAAAGGCTGGTTTCCATGATCGCTATGATCGCTGCGATCGCTACGATCGAGAGTGGTTTCCATTTGAGCTACTATCGCTGAACTTTTTTATCAGCGATCGCAGCGATCATATGGAATCCGGGTTAACTTACTCACAAGATCGAAAAAGTTGTAACCGAGATATCATGATCTCTTGTAAGTTGTAACTTGTTTACCGTTTGGTTTAATAGGATACGTATCACACTTGGTTTTGCAGCTGATTCGACAGTTTTCCTCAGTCCAGCCATTGGTGACGCACTGCCCCATTGCAGCATATTGTTGGCATTCCTCCCTTATGTCCTTACATATCAGACCTATTAAAATTCAAAGTGATTGAAAAAATTAAATAACTAGGACGGCCTTTGCTTTCGGGCCATGATGTTCTTTCCGTAACGTATCAGAAGATTTGAGCTGAGTTTGAGGTTCTGAGGTGTCAGTCAGTAAAGATACTTTTTTTCAAAGGTAGTTTCCGTTTTATAACATCTCGGTGAAAGCCTTCAAAGAGTTGGTCGGTTTCCTTGAGATCAAACCATTACCTTTCCCGCATACATTAATGCCGAACACTAACACTCGACGGCTGGTAGTTTTTATTACTGTCAGATGTTGAAGTGGTGAAGGTGTGAATCATAAACCACATTGGGAGGTTTGGCTTAAGAGTCGTAACTAAGGCGAAATTGAATTGCCTCATGTTTGTTGTTATTAATTTGACTCACCCACTCCAGTCCTGTTGGACAAATGTGTTGGAAGAGTAGGAAAGTTTGTTGGTCCCACGGTTGGCTTTGGCTCTACATGAAAGAAAACAAAACAAACAAATGCTGCAGACTTAAAACGAGTTTAATGGGCTTTTATTCTGAGTAGACCAAGGGTTAATGGCGTTTAGAGAAACCTCAGTTATTTGCTCTTGAAAGTGTTAGCAATTTTTTTTACCAATCAAAAATGAATGTGACTTGATGGGTTTCTGAACCGATTTGCTTAAAGTCTGAGCTCTCTTCACTTTGATCATTCTTGTAGTGTTACAAGTGACTTACTAATCTTGACTTAGCTAATATTAATTTTTTCAGTGCACGGATTTTTACTTGATTGAAACTATTGTTTGAGCTTGAGCCTTCTAAATGGTAAGAGAAGGGAGATGGGCTTGTTATACATGGATTAGGTTAAATAAGGGGAATCAATCTGTAACGGTGCCTTGTCACCAGAGCATCCATATTGAATGAGCACTTGTCTGAATCGTTTGCTCCAAAGTATTGCCCTTTTAGAAAGTTAACTTTCCTAACACTCACTTGAACACTCATCACAGAAACCGCATGTGTGGGGACATTCCCTCTCCATTTTGGCTGAGTCTGAGGAGCAATCACCTCGCTTAGCTCGCGTTTTGCAGTCAGACTTGAGATCGACACAGTAATCTGTGTAAAGGAACACGAAATGAGTTCACTTGTTTTGTTTATTAGAAGTGGCCTTTCTTTGACACGGAATCTCGTATTTTCAACTTCAAAAGTCGATTAAAATTTATGGCCACTGTAAAAAGGTTCTGAACGCAAGCGCTATAGCGATTGTTCTCAAGAGCGATGGTGGGCTAGCGCTAGTGATGGAAATGACTACTTTTGAATTTATTTATTACCTTTACCAAACCTGATTGTTGGTCAGTTCAACTCTGCGACACAAAGTACCATGTTTTTTTGAAAACTCCCCCAAGTTTGCGCACGCGCTCAGACGTCGACTATTTTCGTAATACCCGTGTCTGGTCACGCCAGCTATACTAGCTTACTTAGTACCAACTTCTGAGGGGGAAAGTTACATTGACGCAGCTTCGTACCCAAGCCAGTTTGCGCTATTCGAGTTACCAGAGGAGGCTTGAAACCTAGTGCGATAGCTGGACAGGTGACGTCACATCCGAAATCGCCAAGGACGACTGGGAACGAGGCTGACATCAACGAAGTTTTCTAAACAATAAATCGCTCAAATTAAATTTAATATTTCTGAACGACGTGCCGACCGCTTAATTCTCCATGAATTTTTTTTCCCGAAGAATTCACATGTTCCATCACAGCGCGACTACTCGAACCGGGGCACTTGGAAGAAGATTATCCAATCACGAAGGTTTTTTGAAAACAAAAGATATTAATTTTTTTTTGCAAGTGAACCAATTAGATTCATAAATTTGAGGTCTTTTTCCTGAGAGGTCAGGAAAGTTGAAACGGTTTTAACGTTTTCAACAGTTGCATAGTTGAACCTTGAATTTAATTGGTCCGTTTGCATAAAAAAAAATGAAGTGCCTCGGTTCGAGTAGTCGCACTATAAATTACGCCGTCGTTTGCTTTCAGCCGGTATTATTGCAAAGAAAATAGTTTTATTACCTGACGAACAAAATCCACAAGTTTTCTTACAGTGAACAATCATAGCAGGATGCTCCGTACAAAAGCCAGCCCGCTTCCAGCCTTCGCAATCAGCAGTCTTGGTATTGTCTTTGCAGACTTTCGGGTCTGGGTCTGTAAAGGAAAAGAGAAAGTGTCCGTTTAGGCCAGTGTCTCGATTCACGCCGTCTTATGTAGTTTTAGAGAGTATAATTTTTTAATTCCTCCCCCTTTTGCTCAAAACCTAAATGGATTTTGTATATGTAGATTTGATAACTAAATGTGTAAAAGATTATTTGTTGAGAATATTTTTATTTATTTTTTTTTTATTCAGTGAAACAGGAGACTGGGAATAATAATAATAATAATAATAATAATAATAATGATAATAATAATAATAATAATAATAATAATAATTATGATGATGATGATGATGATGATGATGATGATGATGATGACGATAATAATAAACATGAGTTCTTCCTACAGGAAGCCAAACCTATGAGCTAACGTTGAGTTCAGGTGCTTTAGTACCCTCTACAGGGAATTGTTGGAACTCAAGGTTCAGTTATTAATTAACTAATATAACAAATCCTTTAAAACTTGTTTAACTGAAATCTTACCAATGTAAGAGATAACTGACATTTTAAAGATGAAGTAGCTTACGCGTTCACTCCAGTCAAAAATTGTTCAACTTACCTGTGCATGTTTTGCAGGTGTTACAGGAATGAGGACAGTTCTTGTCCATATAGGCTTTATCAGTTTTACATTTCCCCTCAGCTGCCCATTTCTTGCACAGCTTGTTGTTGTCCATACAACTATCTGCAGAAAAGGGTTTTTCCTGATAAATGCCATGAATATTTCTTCAAATCTATTTGTTTTCTTTTTCTAGTAATAGTAGTAGTAGTGGTAGTGGTAGTGGTAGTGGTAGTGGTAGTGGTAGTGGCAGTGGCAGTGGTAGTGGTAGTGGCAGTGACAGTGGCAGTAGTAGTAGTAGTAGTTGTTGTTTAGTTGACCACCAGTTCCTTCACTAGTTTGAAGGATCGTCACCTATTGTGGAACCTGACCATGGACTCAACTATTTATCTCTTCGTAACACAACTAATCGAACGCATGTTCAAATAACGTTTATTAAAATTCAAACATACTTACTAGAAGAACAGAAACCACAGGTTTTCTTGCAGTGATAAATCATAGCATCGTGCTCTTCGCAAAACCCATCCTCCTTCCAGCCCTTGCATTTAACTTCCTCAGCTTTGTCACCACAAAATTCTCTTCGTGCTGCAAAGAATTGGAAGAAGTAGTTCCATCTAGTTCTGTAGTTCTGTACAAAGTCTATACTGAAATCTCATTACTAGGGAACCACTAACTTAATCTATGTTTTCTGAAGAAGTCCACTATCCAGCTCTGTCATCAGCTGTTTACGAAGTGTTCGTCAACGTTATTATAACAAGTGATTCTTGCCATGGTATAATGATAAATTTGCAAAAATTCAAGGGCAAAATTATTCTGTGAAAAAACTAAAAACAAAAAATTCAACGCGTCAAATGTGATACCTGCTGTTCGTTGTTCCTCAAGTGAAGAAACTTCGCTTCGGGCTGGAAAAAAAATGAAAAATAGTAAATCTTTGAACAGAATAATAACATCAGAATAGTAGGAGTGAAAACAGGTAAACAGGACTTTGTTTTGAGCTCTGCTCCAGTGGTTATACTATCCCTTGCGTGGCAGTATTTCGAAAAATAGCAGTGAGAGAGAAGCGTGGGTGCTAGAAAACGCAGCTTAGGCAAGCGAGGAAAAGTTAGGAGAACACTCCTCCCCCTCGCGTGCTCCGTTCTCCCCCTTCTCTTTTTTTCTTTTGAGTACCAGGTAGACCGAGGCTAATAACAGAGCTTCACGAACGCACATGAAAGCGCGAGCTGAAATTCCTCTTATAAAACATAAACAACCAATTTCGTTTGGTAGCAAAGTGATTTGACGTTCAAATTTTGCTATGGAAGCAAATGTAACGTAGGTGGATAAAATTTTACGCAGCTCCGCTTTTAGACTTGGCTAATTCCATATATTATATCGTCAATGAATTTTTACCTGGACATTTGTACATCCTACGCGCCTGCAAAGCATCATCGTCGCTGAGTTTTACATATGGGGTCTTTCCATGTAGAGGCCTGATCGGCTCCATTGTGTCTTGGCCATTGTTCGAAAATGCATTCCAAGGGTAGTGCATGATTGAAGCGTAATCATACGGAACTCCATAGTCAACTACTTCACTTCCTTGAACTTTCTTCTTGAAGTTGTACTTCATGTCTAAAAATATAGATATAAATATCATAGGAACATTATTCTCTTGTCCCACGGCTTGATGTAACTTAATGGCTGCTTTTCTGTTTTGGAAAACTTGGAAAGAAGTTAAGAGTGTCAATGTTACCTAGTGATATAGTTGGAATTTTTTGCAAGAGCACGAGCTGTCGTTAGCTTACTTGAGATCACATACAATTTAAATACTGAAACGTTTCTCATTGCATAATATTTGATGTCATCGGCTACTGCGTACTGTTAATCTATGACTGCTATTTTGTAGTGATATGTTGTTTTCATTTTGGACTTCGAATGTTCACTATATTTTTTGGAACTTCTTTTATTACCTTTACCAAACCTGATTGTTGGTCAGTTCAACTCTGCGACACAAAGTACCATGTTTTTTTGAAAACTCCCCCAAGTTTGCGCACGCGCTCAGACGTCGACTATTTTCGTAATACCCGTGTCTGGTCACGCCAGCTATACTAGCTTACTTAGTACCAACTTCTGAGGGGGAAAGTTACATTGACGCAGCTTCGTACCCAAGCCAGTTTGCGCTATTCGAGTTACCAGAGGAGGCTTGAAACCTAGTGCGATAGCTGGACAGGTGACGTCACATCCGAAATCGCCAAGGACGACTGGGAACGAGGCTGACATCAACGAAGTTTTCTAAACAATAAATCGCTCAAATTAAATTTAATATTTCTGAACGACGTGCCGACCGCTTAATTCTCCATGAATTTTTTTTCCCGAAGAATTCACATGTTCCATCACAGCGCGACTACTCGAACCGGGGCACTTGGAAGAAGATTATCCAATCACGAAGGTTTTTTGAAAACAAAAGATATTAATTTTTTTTTGCAAGTGAACCAATTAGATTCATAAATTTGAGGTCTTTTTCCTGAGAGGTCAGGAAAGTTGAAACGGTTTTAACGTTTTCAACAGTTGCATAGTTGAACCTTGAATTTAATTGGTCCGTTTGCATAAAAAAAAATGAAGTGCCTCGGTTCGAGTAGTCGCACTATAAATTACGCCGTCGTTTGCTTTCAGCCGGTATTATTGCAAAGAAAATAGTTTTATTACCTGACGAACAAAATCCACAAGTTTTCTTACAGTGAACAATCATAGCAGGATGCTCCGTACAAAAGCCAGCCCGCTTCCAGCCTTCGCAATCAGCAGTCTTGGTATTGTCTTTGCAGACTTTCGGGTCTGGGTCTGTAAAGGAAAAGAGAAAGTGTCCGTTTAGGCCAGTGTCTCGATTCACGCCGTCTTATGTAGTTTTAGAGAGTATGATTTTTTAATTCCTCCCCTTTTTGCTCAAAACCTAAATGGATTTTGTATATGTAGATTTGATAACCTAATGTGTAAAAGATTATTTGTTGAGAATATTTTTATTTATTTATTTTATTCAGTGAAAAAGGAGACTGGGAATAATAATAATAATAATAATAATAATAATAATAATAATAATGATGACGATGATGATGATGATGATCATGATGATGATGACGATAATAATAAACATGAGTTCTTCCTACAGGAAGCCAAACCTATGAGCTAACGTCGAGTTCAGGTGCTTTAGTACCCTCTACAGGGAATTGTTGGAACTCAAGGTTCAGTTATTAATTAACTAATATAACAAATCTTTTAAAACTTGTTTTACTGAAATTTTACCAATGTAAGAGATAACTGACATTTTAAAGATGAAGTAGCTCACGCGTTCACTCCAGTCAAAAATTGTTCAACTTACCTGTGCATGTTTTGCAGGTGTTACAGGAATGAGGACAGTTCTTGTCCATATAGGCTTTATCAGTTTTACATTTCCCCTCAGCTGCCCATTTCTTGCACAGCTTGTTGTTGTCCATACAACTATCTGCAGAAAAGGGTTTTTCCTGATAAATGCCATGAATATTTCTTCAAATCTATTTGTTTTCTTTTTCTAGTAATAGTAGTAGTAGTGGTAGTGGTAGTGGTAGTGGTAGTGGTAGTGGTAGTGGCAGTGGCAGTGGTAGTGGTAGTGGCAGTGACAGTGGCAGTAGTAGTAGTAGTAGTTGTTGTTTAGTTGACCACCAGTTCCTTCACTAGTTTGAAGGATCGTCACCTATTGTGGAACCTGACCATGGACTCAACTATTTATCTCTTCGTAACACAACTAATCGAACGCATGTTCAAATAACGTTTATTAAAATTCAAACATACTTACTAGAAGAACAGAAGCCACACGTTTTCTTGCAGTGATAAATCATAGCATCGTGCTCTTCGCAAAACCCATCCTCCTTCCAGCCCTTGCATTTAACTTCCTCAGCTTTGTCACCACAAAATTCTCTTCGTGCTGCAAAGAATTGGAAGAAGTAGTTCCATCTAGTTCTGTAGTTCTGTACAAAGTCTATACTGAAATCTCATTACTAGGGAACCACTAACTTAATCTATGTTTTCTGAAGAAGTCCACTATCCAGCTCTGTCATCAGCTGTTTACGAAGTGTTCGTCAACGTTATTATAACAAGTGATTCTTGCCATGGTATAATGATAAATTTGCAAAAATTCGAAGGCAAAATTATTCTGTGAAAAAACTAAAAACAAAAAATTCAACGCGTCAAATGTGATACCTGCTGTTCGTTGTTCCTCAAGTGAAGAAACTTCGCTTCGGGCTGGAAAAAAATGAAAAATAGTAAATCTTTGAACAGAATAATAACATCAGAATAGTAGGAGTGAAAACAGGTAAACAGGACTTTGTTTTGAGCTCTGCTCCAGTGGTTATACTATCCCTTGCGTGGCAGTATTTCGAAAAATAGCAGTGAGAGAGAAGCGTGGGTGCTAGAAAACGCAGCTTAGGCAAGCGAGGAAAAGTTAGGAGAACACTCCTCCCCCTCGCGTGCTCCGTTCTCCCCCTTCTCTTTTTTTCTTTTGAGTACCAGGTAGACCGAGGCTAATAACAGAGCTTCACGAACGCACATGAAAGCGCGAGCTGAAATTCCTCTTATAAAACATAAACAACCAATTTCGTTTGGTAGCAAAGTGATTTGACGTTCAAATTTTGCTATGGAAGCAAATGTAACGTAGGTGGATAAAATTTTACGCAGCTCCGCTTTTAGACTTGGCTAATTCCATATATTATATCGTCAATGAATTTTTACCTGGACATTTGTACATCCTACGCGCCTGCAAAGCATCATCGTCGCTGAGTTTTACATATGGGGTCTTTCCATGTAGAGGCCTGATCGGCTCCATTGTGTCTTGGCCATTGTTCGAAAATGCATTCCAAGGGTAGTGCATGATTGAAGCGTAATCATACGGAACTCCATAGTCAACTACTTCACTTCCTTGAACTTTCTTCTTGAAGTTGTACTTCATGTCTAAAAATATAGATATAAATATCATAGGAACATTATTCTCTTGTCCCACGGCTTGATGTAACTTAATGGCTGCTTTTCTTTTTTGGAAAACTTGGAAAGAAGTTAAGAGTGTCAATGTTACCTAGTGATATAGTTGGAATTTTTTGCAAGAGCACGAGCTGTCGTTAGCTTACTTGAGATCACATACAATTTAAATACTGAAACGTTTCTCATTGCATAATATTTGATGTCATCGGCTACTGCGTACTGTTAATCTATGACTGCTATTTTGTAGTGATATGTTGTTTTCATTTTGGACTTCGAATGTTCACTATATTTTTTGGAACTTCTTAGTTCAATCGGTTAGAGTCGAATGCTGCCCCTCTGTTGAATCACTAATTCTGTTCCCTTCTCCAAATTTAATGTATCTCATTCCTCGGCTTTGATAAGTATTCCTAGCCCTAATAGAGTCTATATACAGTTCTCTTATCCCTTGGGTATCATGCTTGAAACTTTGCTATCATCTGTCTCTTACTTTCGTTAATGTTTTCCCAGTGTATCTTCAGGTAGTTGTCCCTATCAGGTCTGCTTTGTTCATGCCAAAAGCCAATGGCATGACCGAGCTCATGTGTCATGACGTGTTTGTATTCACAGCCATGACCAATGGAAAGCCAGGTTTCTCGTCTTGGAATCTTACCAACCTCACACCAACAGCTGTCAAAAGTGAAAAGTCGTAATGAGCAATAAGATTCTGTTTAATTAAAAAATTTTCATTAAACATGGACAAATAAAAGGACAGCATCGAATCTCCTCAGAGTTTTCATGTAAAATATATTAAAAATGGCGTAAACTCGTGCCAATTATGACGTCATATCGCGTGACCTTTCAGAACTACATTCGTGCAAGGTGTTTCTCAGCGATTATTGTAATGCTACGGAAGAGAAGATGTTTTAGCTTTAAAACCGTTTTGGACAAAAAAAAAACACAAACAAGGCAAATCGAAGGAGCTCATGACATTTGCCCCCCTTATACGCAGCACTACTAGGTGTACTTATGTCTCAAAGAAACAGATTAACATGTACCCCATTTAAAGTTTCGTTTTTACTGATTTTATTTTGAATTCATAATATATGATCATACCCTTGTCCTCGATTAAGCCACAAGAACTCCTTCTCAGTTGTTCTCTTGACGAATCTGATGCAGGTTTTGCTCTCCCACTCCGCCATAGCTTCCAGTGTTGTTCGTACCGCACGATCAATACTTGCTGGAAAAATTTTTAATAGTTTTAGTGTTTAGCCTTAGTCACATGACGATAATTCGGATTTCTGAACTCTCATTGTCATGCCTTTAATTCAGTAATTTTCCTCGAGGATCTGTAACTGTTGTTGTTTTAGCCTGGTCTACACGCGGGAATGCGTAGTGTGAGATGCAATATCTTCGCCTTCCTAGAGGAACTATTACTGAGACGATATATAGGTTTATCGGCAAAAGGCGCTGGAGTATGGTCTTATTGTCCATGGATTGGTGCATTCATATAAGATAGTATTTAGTTGGTTTTATTGGAAGCCTGGCCTCCAAACATCGAAAATTTTGAAAGGCCAAGAAATGTATCGTTCTCCCACCCTAGAAAAAAAATAACTTTCCATGGCTCTGTTAATGGCCTTATTAACCAACATTTCTATATATATATATATTTATAAACTCACCTACACTACAATCAAACTCGTACGGAATGACAGCATTGGGCCACTTAATCTTGTCCACATTAGTTGCCGCACGTGCAGGGGAACCATCCGGATCACCAAAGACCAATTCATTTAGTCTTTGTCTCTCTGTCAGCTTTATGTCTCCTTCGTATAAATGAGACAAAAGCTGCGGACTCTCCGTGTTATCTTCAAAGGAGGTACATGGTATCACAAGGTTGTTTTATAATTGAAATAAAAATGATGCCTTTAGCAATGCAAAGTCCGGTAGTGGATGCCACATTAGGAAATAACCAGCAATAAATTGAAAACTACATCGATATCTTAGAACAAAAACTTGCAATGAAGACATTCTATGTGGCCCTAAAACCAATGAAATACTTTGCTCAGTTTCCTCGAATAAAGATTGGTGTTGGTATAACCTTTGAAATCTTGATCTTTTTGTCCTTTCATTCAGGTAACAATTTACCATTTTAACACAATTACACTGATTTGAAGATGGAAGTTTATATCTTTGATTAGAAGATAAACATTGTTATCATTAATTGGCTGACCTTTTTTGGGGTGGGGGAGGGGGGAGATTTCACCATTTGCATTGGCCATTTTATGGTTGATTGGAGACTGGCTCGGTGTTGTGTCCAATTGCATTATGGGACTGTTTGGTGGAAGCTATGGCTTCTTTTCTTGGCTAATAAGAAGTTGTACAGGAAACTGGGTTAAAATTAATCCCTTAAAACAGTTCCACAGCACAATATAACAAAATACTGCAGTTACACCACTGTACTGACTCAAAATATAACTTACTCCCAGTTAGCTCCAGTTACTCAATGGTCAAGCCATTTAAATCGGCTACTTGAGCTCCATAATTTAACGCTAATTTCACTGAAACTAACCTTTTCCTTGATTGATATCCAGTATCCTTTCAAATGCTCCTTTCTTTCCTGTACTTCCTGTGGCCATTGAGAGAATAACAAGACTAGCCAGCAAAGTAAACCGTCGCGTCATCGTGGAAGACAATACTAGTTTCAGTCTCCTAGTAGAATAAAAGGAAATAACTTCTTCTCTGAATTTTTAGTCACCGGGTCTTCTAGTAGTATCCAATTAAATGGAGAAATGTTTTTTTCCCAAGAAAACAACCTTTGGAATACTCTTAAATATTATTATTTGATAATAGGTTTTTTGAAGAGTTATTGTTACTATTTTAAAATCGTCTATTAGAGTAAGGCACCATAGCAACTCGCAGATATTCTACGTGTTTGCTGATATGATAATGAAATATATAATATCTGTGTTACTCTCGCTGCCTGAAGAAATGATGGCTAGAGGTGATTTAAAAAGATGACAGTTTTGTTCGTTAGAGTACGTGTCTCATTCTTTTATTCCAATTCGCAGTTTTGCTCAAAAATAATTGGCAAAAGTCTTGAAATTTGATCAAAGAAAGCTGACAGCTTTATAATCTGCAAAAAAATTAAATTCAGAAAAAGCACTCTCTATAAATGTAGTAGTTAAAAGTTAAGTCAGCACCTGCCAGCCTTGCTCTGCGAAGTTTTCCAGCCCGTGCTACGTCTTGAAATAAAGTGAACATAAACCTTAAATCCTGACCCTCATTTAAACAGACGCCTTCCTGGTTTCTTTTAGAACAATCAAACGCTTTCTCAGCAGCACGCCTATGTTTAAATAAAAACAATGCCTGGATCCTGCCTGAGCACTTATTTACCGTCTTTATTTTTTTTGTTTTTGTTTTCCACAATAATTCTTTAATACGTCAACGCACAATTTTCAGATGTTTAAGTGTAAATTCCTATTGTTTCTTTTCTTGATGCTAGTGAGAACTTGTGGGGATAATTTATCCGTTTATAGTTGTAAATTATTTCCATTTTTTTCATAATTTACAAGCAACGCACACAAAGCGGTTAAAAGGCAAAACAACTAGCCCCAAACACTGTTTCAATATTAAAAGAAAAGCTTTATTTATTTACTTAACAAAAGCATTTTTTGAAATTCGGTCCAGTCTCTAACTCCTAAAACCGGTTTTATAATTGGGGACATTATTGCAATACTGAGTGTATCGTGATCAATTTTGCACTAAACTAAAGTTAATTTCTTTAATAAATAGAAACTAAAGGATGCCTAATTGATCTCTTTTTTTTGAACAGATTGTGAAAAAGAATGCTGTGTCACAATCATATATCTCATACTGCGATTCTATTAAGGAACAATTATACTATAAACTGAAATATACTTCAGCTGATGCTGAGGCGTTAACACTTGGCAGATCTTCGATTTTAATCCTTTAAACCTTAAGATCAAAATTTGAATTCTCATTTGTTGCTCCTATTCATTTCCTACACAAGTAATGGGGAGAAGTTGATAAAATATCAAGCAAATTCATCTTGTGTGATCCTTAATTCTCATGATCAGTCTTTGTTACAAAGCATTGATATTACAAGGAGAAATTTGATGCTGATCACTCTTAGGGCTTAAAGAGTTAAACTACGTGTCTCTTACTTTATTTACCAGTACAATGCGTCCCCCTTTCTCACACACAAGTATGATAACTTAGTTTTCCCCTTGTGTAAGAAGAATTCAGGTTTACTTCACTGACAATTCTACGGGATATGGGAAACTAATGCATAAAAAAATCCCTATTCAATTTTAATAACAATGAAATATTATTTTAGGAAAAAACAGCACTGTTCAAAAGCAGCCTTTTGTGTTTATTATAATTTGAATGTGCTTCCTTGTGCTGTTGTAAAATAAAACCCTGTCGTTAAACGTTTCTGACGTTAATAGGTAAGCATTGATAAAATCCATCAGCCCAGACATTCTCTAAATAAACGTCGTCTAAGCCGTCTTAAATAGTTTAGGAACGTTGAGGAACAAGAACAAGTCTTCCCCATACTTGAATTTTACGGTGCAGTCCTGCAAGTAACTTCCTGTGCCATTTACATGTAGCTAGGGAACACACTGTAACGTGAAAACAAAGGCAAGGAGAACTTTTAGGCAAAAGGCGTCAATTTTATGGAGTTTATCAACCAGTGTTTCGTTTATTGTTTGCTGTACCTTTGTAAAAGATAGATAAAAGTTAGGTTTGTGCATATAATACTACTTTTGAGTCAGATACAACCATTTAGAGCAACTAACACTGATGTAAAAGAAAATAATATCTTCTTTTGGGTTCCCCCTTCTTTAATTTACCTAACGTAATGACCAAAACCTCATTAAATATGAGGTGAATTCGTTATGTTGACTATAGACTCTGTTAACTAATGCTTGTCCCAGAAAAGGACACGGCTTATCTGAATTATTTTTATTATAAATAATAGATAAATATATCATAAGTAGGTTGAGTATGATCGTCCGGGTGAACGTAGACCTAAATAGGACGCTGTTGTTGACAATGACTGACCTTTCGACAACCTGTGCAGTATTCATCGTTAGAGTTAAATTGAGTTGTATCACGTCAGTTGATCGTATTAAACTATGGTTATTGATCCGATTGGTTAATTAATTCGTGATGTTATTGGTCGTCTGTTAGTAAAACCAATTTGTTTTTGGCTTGTGTAAACGTTCTCCTTGTCTTTGTTTTCACCATTAGATAAATATAACTTAGCACAAAGCAAAAGAAGTCTTAAATTGTGGTTCTTGATGACCCTAAGTACATTTCGAACAATTGGAAGTAATGTTGGGGTAATACCCTAAAGGATTATTTCGGAGTTCATACTAATAAAGGAGATTTTTCCCCATGAGCTTAAAGGATGGTGGGTTAAGGGTTAGGAAAGTGTGTTAAACGTTTGCGTCCATTTTGAACGTTCACCTTTTGTTTTGTACCTTGTCATCTTAAACGCCACAGAAGAAGCAATTTTCCCCATGTTACGAACAGTAAATAAATGGAAACATAATGCACAGGAATGTCATAAGAGTGTGATGGAATAAGATTGGCTAATAACGTGTTCTATGTGAGAGTTATTAAATGGTTTCCTGGTAGTTTTTATCAAAGAAATGTATACCAGAAGGGTTACAAACCAAAAGTTTTGAACCGCAAAAATCCTGTGTTGATTTTTTAGACTGGTAATATATATGAAACGCGAGCAACTATTGGCTAATTCTGACATGAAATGTTATTAAGTTTGACACACACGACGAGTTGTTAGAGAGCGACTACTCGATTTGGGGCACTTGGAAAAATATTATCCAATCACAACTTACATTTTTTGAAAACCAAAGATTCTCAAGCTTTTTCTCTTTGCAAACAGACTAATAACATTCGTAGATTTCAGGTTGGTTGAAACGGTTTTAAAGTTTTCAATGGTTGCATAGTTGATCCTTGAATTTAATTAGTCCGTTTTCAAAACATTTAAGAATGTTTTCAAAAAGCGTTGTCTTTCTATTATCTTCCAATTCAAGTGCCTCGGGTCCAGTAGTCGCACTGTAATCATAGCGGTATGTTGTAATGTTTTTTCTTGATGGTGAGCGTATGGTTTTTGCGCCTGCGCAATTCAGTTATACGACTGCAATGTGCATATACTGCGGTTCATTCTCATATCGCTTGGTCATCAACCTATTTTTATATCTCTTTGTCGGTGGAACTAATTAAAAGCAAACAGCTCATTGCAACCTGCTGGAAACATTAACCTTTCTTTAAAAGGACATTATTGCTTTGTGCATATCGATGAGAAGTGTGTTGATACTCGCGTAAAATCGTACATAACATTCTGCCTTAAGTGGGTCCTCCCCTAAGCCAAAAAAGGCAAACAAAAGAGTAGTTTTACACTGAGCAGTTTATTTGTCATTTAAGTCACCCTTAGACAGCATCTACCATATCTCTAAAATATTTTACAACTTTGCTTCGCTATCAGTCTAACTGAAAAAATTCCGGTGGTGGATCTGTGAATAAGAATAGAAAAAAAATCAGACTTCCAGTTTAAGTGTCTTTTCTAAAAATCGTTCATGTTAGCTTTGTTTTCTTACGTGACAGAACATTAGAAATAAAAATGAGTTTTCGTGACAGGTAAGGAAAACTTAGGGTTGATTGATTGATTTATAAACTAACTTTTTTATAGGTGCGCACGCGCCGACTTCAGTGAAAACCTCTCCTGCTCTATTGTCAAATAGGCCTTTGACGAAGACATCTCACGATATCAAAAACAGAGGGCGATCCACAAATAGTATCGCCCTTAAACACCGATTTTGTCATAAGAAATAGGGCAACGATACAAACAAGTCGAGTAGGGGTCTACAATGACTCATGACTCTGTAATTGCGTCCGTAATACTCAAGTCGGAGCCATACATTTCAACCCTCATGCAGATAGCTGGCCTTGACGACAATGATTTTGACGTATCTGGCCGTAGCGGGATTATAATAAAAATGTATTCAAAACAGGAGTGAAATGGTCACAGGTTCCAATAAGGACCCATAAATTAAAGGAATAAGTAAAATTAAACTTAAATAAATTATTTTGTGGTCATAAATGACCACGAACAAAAGAGTGCATCTTTCATATTTCATACAATACACAAATCTAGTTATAAATGCGGGAAGCGATAAAAAGAATCAGTTGAAGGAACGTTCACTGGAAAAATTTGACCACTCACTGGTCCGTTAACAGGAACCCGTTTCGCTCTGTCCGCACGGAAACTGACGAAGCAGATTGAATTTTTTTTTGCGGTTTTATTATCTGCTCATGCGCAGGGCTAGAGCGCTACTTCTCAGCAAATCCAGTCGATGGCGTCTTGCAGCTGAGTTTTCACGCATCCATGCAAAGATGACCATGCCTTTGTAGTACAAACGTAAGACAGTTATGGTTTTTCATAGCGGCTAAAAATTTGGCCTCTTATCTATTTTGGCGTCCCAATTTTTGAACGGCTAGGCGTCTAAATTTTCGGACCGTTAAGGTGTTTCCGTGTGAGCGGATCACATAAATGTACGAGATTCAGTCAGTCGAAATGTCCAGCGGTGTTTTGTGAACATAATTTGCTTGCACAACTTCGCCCTTTATGAAG